TCAGTCACCAGTACAAAAAAGCTTATGTTCTGATGGGCTAATTTACAGTCAATTTCAATCTGGAGATGGGGGAGGCTAGTAGGGAGGAAAGGATTGTAAGAAGGGTATGTGCATGTACCACACTTCCGTAGGATGATTGTATTGATTACATATCACAAACATACACTAATAAAAATATTTTATAAAAGAAATAATTTCAAGTTCATCTAAACAAAATCTACCTCATCATACTCAGGATAACCATTATGGAGCAATAAGGAGGTAAGCTGCTCAAAGTCAGGAAAGGTCTTCTAAAAAGATCTAATATAGGGCCAGGGATTTAGCTCAGTGGTTTCGCCGCCTGCTGCGCTAGCGCAAGGACCTAAGTTCGATCCCCAGTACCCCCAAAAAAAAAAGATCTAATATATAAAAAATCAACAGCCATTATTACTCGGCTGCCTTCAAAGCGTATGAAACAAAAACAGCAGAAGGTGGTCTTGAGATGGAAATGGCCATCACTTATTTGGAGGGCAAAAAAGACAGCAAAGTAAGGCTTGAATGATAATGACTGGGAAGATGAGGACTGGAAGCCATTCTTCAGCACAGGAATGTTTTGATATAAACTGTGCCAAAAATATATGGTACAAAGCAGTGATATTAATTAGGATTCTTCAGTAGCCTGAATAGTATAAATGGTACCTCAGACTTAAGTGGTAGTGTGAAAATAGTAAAGTAATAGATGACAAAAATTTAACACTCCTTGAACTACTACATAATTGAAAGAATCAGGCTAGTTGGTGCTATAACTTATACTGCTGGCTTAAATTACTATGTCTAGTTAACAGTAAGTATTCCCCCTCGCAAAAAACCTAGTATTAGGTACATGGCCCTCAGATAAGTCATTCAGCCTAGTGAAAGAATGAAAGTAATTTTGCTTACCTGAAATAAAGGTTTGAGGTAGAATTTAAAGGTAATCATGCAGCAACCTAGTACAGCTCCTGTTCCTCAACAACCATTCAACTGGTAACTATAATCACCTTCTTACAAGTTTAGATCTTGCTTCCCTGGCTAGATTATCATCATCGAGGGATGATTTTTCTAATTCTCCAAAATACAATGCAGTGTTGGTTGTAAATAGGGTTATGTGAAATTAAGAAAACTGCTTCTAAATTCATGCCTCTTCTTCACTTCAGCTGTTAACATCAACTAAACCATTTTATAAGAAATCTACATGCAAATTTACAGTCTACGATAGTTTTTAATCAAGGGAACTAAATCATTGCTGAAGCAGTGTTTTTATAAAAAGGTCTAAATTCTTCTTTCAGCCTAAGATAGTCTGTGAGACACTCAAAGTAAAAGTACTTCAAGAAAACAAAGATTGCAGAAATAACTTGTCTAAAATTGACTGTCCAAGAAATACACATACCTGGTGTGGTATATATGCCTATAGTTCCAGGACAAGAGGCTGAGGTAAGATCACAATGGCAAGCCTGAACTATAAAGCAAGACCCTGTCTCAAAAAACCAAAAATCAGGCCAGGCATGGTGGCACACTTGGGAGGCTGAGGCAGGAAGATTACCACAAGTTCAAGGCCAGTCTGGCCTACAGTGAGGTCAAGGCCAGCCTGAACAGACCCTGTCTCGAGCAAAAAAAAAAAACAACCAAGCGAGAGAGTGAGAGAACTCTGCCAATCAGAAAGAAGCAACTTTACTATATAAATGAAAAGGCCCTGTGCATTATGACTGTCCTCACTATTCATGACATGTTTTCATTCCCCCGGTAATCACTGATCTAAATCCTTAAAAATAGTGTTATATATCTGAATAAAAATTCCACCCCTAAAAAAAAAGTCCTTCAACCATCTCCGAAATATAAATAATTTAAAAGAGGCATTTCCCCAACATTTAGTTGTGTATTACTAGAATGAAACTTCAATTACATAAAAATTCATCTTGGTTAGCTGTAACTCAGAATCTGAAGACTCGAAGTAGGGATAGTTTCCAAAAATATTCCCTATGGAATATATATACAAGGAGATATCCATCTCCACAAATACAAAATAGCAAAAACCATCCAAATCAATTTGAGTTTTGTATTCTCTCTATAATGTTTCATTACTTCATTTCTTCTAGAAGTCTAGTCCTCCTTTTACTGCTGTATTATGGCAAATTTCCCAAATATATCCAGAGTAAAGAAGTCTTTAAAAAAAAAAGAAAGAAAAAAAGCAGGTATCCAATTCACCACGGTGAATGCATATTACTACCACCAAAAAGATCTTTTAAAAGGCACCAAACAACAAAGGCCCCTAGTCACTAGGCAGTAAAATATAATTATTCTCCTAGGTAAGAATTAACACAGAAACCCAGAAAGAATGAAAAAGTCTAAGGAAAGGAATTGGTTCCTCCATCAATTAAAGACTTCCTGGTTATTACAGATATTTCTGTTAACAGTTAAAATATGTAATTAACATTTATATTAATACAATAATATCTCGGTTCACAAATGCTTCTGTTCACAATTCAGATCTCAAACAAAAGTGTTTGACAAAATTTTGACCCATTCACAAAGTCCATAGCCGGTGACAAACACAACCACAGCCATCTTCCCCATACAAACACAAACACAGCCATCTTCCCCAAAAATCATAAAAACACTGAGGTATCACTATTTATGTGAACTGAGGTATCACTATTTATTATTAAGAAAATATATAATAGGGCAATACAATTTTGGATTATAATAAATTAAGCCCAAAAAATTTCAATTTTGAGTGGCATTCAAAATCATATTATTTTTGAGTTCTAAACTATTTTCCTCTATTGATAAAAGGTTTCTGCAAATCATACACAAGTTCTAGTGAGAACCTACCATAAGTAATGTCATAGCCACAAGAATTAAGTAGCCTTGGGCCGGGGATTTAGCTCAGTGGTTTCAAGTTCGATCCCCGGTACCAAAGAAAAAAAAAAATTAAGTAGCCTAAAATGTTAATTCAATGTTAAAAAGTGGCTGACATCACTAGCTAAATTCCTTATTAGCTTTTTGTAGTAAGAGAGCTCGTTACCTTCTCAATAATTCTACATTTTCACATTAAAATTTACTGCTATTTTTGTTTTTAAAAAAATTCAGGACATGGGGCTTGGTGCTGCTCCCCTGTAATCCTAGCACTCTGAAAAGCTGAGACAGAAGGATAAAAGTTCAAATTCACCCTGGACAATTTAGTGGCTCAGTGAATGTCTCAAATTAAAAAACAGGGATGAGGATCACCTCAAGTGTGAAGGCCCTGGGTTCAATCCTCAAAACTACAAAAACAAACCTTACTACTGTATCTTATCACCACCCAGCAAAAAAGATCTTTCATTGGAACTGCTGAAACTAAACTTTTGACAGCTCAAAGGTTACCAGTGAATGACTCCCTATGGAGCTATATCCTCTTTAACATTACTTTAAGGGAAGTCAGCCACCCTGCCTCAGCCTCTCAAGTGCTGGGATTATAGGCTTGCCCTACTACGCCAACCACCACACCCAGCAGGTATCTAATTGATGAAATTTTTTTTTTTTGAGACAGGCTATGTAGTTCAGGCTGGCCCTGAACTATGTACCCCAGACTGGCAGAGAACTCTCAGTAATCCTGCCTCAGCCTCCCCAGTCCTGGGATTATAGGTAGGCACCACCATGCCCAGCTTAATGAATTCTCTTTCAAGAACAATACTTTCCTGTTAAACCTGTACTATACTCAATTTTGTGTATGGCGCAATTAAAGCAATTTAGCAATATAAAAGAGCTAAATACAGTATACTTGTTTTTCTCCTTAAAATGTGATACAAGTTGAGCTCATCCTTAACCTGAAAATCAGAAAGGCAAAGAAGGCTGGGAATGTGGCACACACCTATAATCCCAGAACTAAAGAGGGAGGCTGAGGCAGGGGATCACCTGAGGTCAAGGCTAGCCTTGACTACATAGAGACCCTATCTAAAAAAAAATAGATGCAAAGTTTCAGATGTTAGCCAATGTTGTGTACCTATAATCCAAATCCTGGGGAGGCTGAGGCAGGAGGATATCAAGTTCAAGCCTAGCCTAGGCAATTTAGGAATTCAGCCAGACCTGTTTCAAATTTTGAAAAGAGACAGTATGCAGCACAGTATGAAGGTTCTGGGTTTAATCCTAGCACACCAAAGTATTTCAGATTTTTGGACTAGGGATGCTCAACTGCTAAAAGCCTGTGTATGCAAACAGCTCCAAAACTCAAAATGCCCTGAAATACATCTGGTAAAATTGAAAATACCAGCTATTTTTAATAAGGAACATTCAACCTATGTATCTGATGGTTAGGAAAGAAAAAAAATTCAGACAAAACCAGTCTGAAAATTTTGTTTGCTTAGAATTACTAACAAAATTTACCAGCCAGTTAAAGCAAATTTAATAAACATTTGCCATACATAGTGAGCTATCAAAAGTTTCTCTCTAGCTGTATTTCTTGGTACATCCATAGGTTTAAATTCACCCCTGGCTCTTAAACTTTATTACTGAAGAATCTTTGACTCAGAGAATTTATGTGAACTAGTTATAATAGGTCGTGACTTCAAATAATAATTTTAAAAAGACAACTAGGTCTTCGCCTAACATGGTATTTTTAAATCAAATACTGCCACTCACCACAAAAGCCTTTATTTCATTATCTAGAAGTTTATAATCAGAATGTCTTTGAATTTTTGAAAAGAGATGATCCAAGTGTGGCCAGAAACTACAGGAACCCTATCTATCACAGTTATTTTCTTAAACTTCACACTGTTGTAAATTTAAGCATACAAACAAAACTATTATTATGCTAGATGTCTCAAGAACCATTAACTAAGAATTCTACCACACCTCTTTTTACCAACTATCCATGCAAAGAATGTTCATAGAGAAAATCAAAGATACATACATACTTCAAAAAATATTTGGTAAACTCTTATGGCACATTAAGAAAACAGCAAGCATTAAAGATAGTTAATGTGAACACTGTGGGAAAAAAAACTTACCAGTTTAACAGCCTCCTGCGCTGCTTCTTTTGTACAAAAAGTGACAAACGCATAACCTCTATTTAGACCAGTGAGTGGATCCATCATTAGACGAAGATCCCATATAGGTCCAGCTTTTTCAAATAATGGAACAAGTTCATCTTCAAATAGATCTCTTGGGATCTTCCCCACAAATATCTATAAATTAAAGTAAAAACCATGAAGAATTCTTTAGGAAACCAGATACCTCTGCTTTTACTACAAAAGGTGAAAGTTTATAGTTTCTTTACCTCAGTGCCAACAGAAGGCTGCTGACCTGAATAAATGGAATCTGGAGGTGGTCCCCCATACTTCCTCTGTCCAGTGGTTACATCAAGTGTGTAGCCTGTTCTTTCCAAGAGCGCCTTGAAAAGTTGAAATGTTATTAATACGTTTTATTCACAAGACCACACCTATACATTCAGCAGACAACCCTGTTCAAATCTTTCCAATTATCTTAGCAACATTCCTCCATAAACCAGTCTCTGGGATCTGTTTCTGGACTTCCCCATTAATAAGTCCATATTATAACCCAAACTTATTGTCACAATTTCAACTCCTGGGCAAACTACTTTCTAGTCTTCAATTAATTACTTAAGACAAGATGTTACCATCACTGCTAATGCCTTCTAAAAAATGTACCTAATTTGGTTGAGTATCTCCCCCCTCTTGACTTCTTACCCAACAAATTCCCCTTATCCTAACTTGTAGGGCACACACTGCCATTCTGGGCATTTTGCCAATCCTTGAAGATGTTATACTCCCCATACCAAGTCTAGAACTTGGAAACTAAAGGAATAACCTCTATTATTTGACACTAAAATATCACACCTCGTAAGACACCACAGATCATTTAGAAAAAACAGACAAAATAACTGAAAACTTTATGAAATTGCAAAATTGTACTATAACTTCTACATCTTATCTCACTGAAAGTGAACTGCTAAAATTTACAAAACTCATTTAACTCAGGATTAGGAGCTTCTCATCCCTTATTACAAATGTGCTAAAAAATAGCCCATCAAGCTTTAAAGAAAAGTCAAGGACCTGGGGATTTAACTCAGTGGCAATGCACCTGCGCCTGCCTCACAAGCGCAAGGTCCTGTGTTCAATCCCCAGTACTGAAGGAAAAAAAAAAAAGAAAAGTCAAGATTTTCCATCTCTACCACAAAACTAGTCATCCTGTCCGTCCCCGTCCCCCCGGTCTGTCCCCCATCCCCCCACCCCCCCCAAACCAGGACTCCAACTCAGGACCTTGTGCTTGCTAGGCAGGCATGGTATCACTGAGCTACATCCCTGGCCCCTTAGTTCTTCTAAATAACAAATCTATTAGTTACCTGGTAATTCTGAAATGAAAAGACCTAATGCTAGTCACATGACAAAACTTACTAAAATGTGTTAAATGACATGGGGTCAGGTTGCCTCAATCTCCAAAAATAAGAACATTAAAAACAAAATTACCTGCCTGGGGATGTTTCAGGGATACAGCATTCAGCTGCCTAGCATGCTTGAGGCCCCTAGTTTGATCCAGAGCACCACTCAGAAATAAAAAGTCAGTAATTTATAAAAAAACAACTTTTTTGTAAGAAAAAGGTTCACAAAATGTTATGTAGTCTGAGTTAACTTTTGTCCTGTACTGGTGCATCAATGTGACAATACTAAAACTCAAATCTGACTATAAAAAACCATGACTATCACATGAACTGAACCGTCAAATTGCTCATTTTCCTTTTTTCTCATATGTAATCCCTGTGCTTTAAAGGAGGTATGCCTTTTTCACTTTAATCTGCTCATGATCCTAGTAACACCTTTTGTCAAGCTATTAAAAAAACAAGGCTGAGTGTGGTGATACACGCCTGTAATACTGGCACTTGGGAGGCTGAAGCATTAGGACTGTCGTAAGTTCAAGGCCAGCCTGGACTACTTAGCAAGACTCTGTCCCAAAAAACAAAGACAACACAAAACAAAAACAAAACCTTTTATTCCCTGCCAAACATCCTATAAAAATGTCTTTTTTGGGTCACAATTTAAGTCCCACTGAAGATTAAAGCCACCTCCTCCCAAAGACATAACTGAAAGTCACACAAACTAATTTTCATAAAACTCAACTCCCCAATGCATACTTTTTTTGGGTACCAGGGATCCAACTTGGGACCTTGAACTTGTGAGGCAGGCAGCGGAACCACTAAGCTAAATCCCTGGCCCTCCCCAATGTATTTTTAATTACAATTAGCATATTATAATTGGCACAACTAAACCCCATTTTTAATGGAAAAATTCACTGATAGTTCAAATTCAATTTATTCACAAACATCTCAAATTCACAGCTAACAAATAACTCCATATTCCAATCTTTTCCTTATTCTAGGCTTCCCACTTTTTCCCTATCATTTAAATACTACCCGGGCCAGGGATTTAGCTCAGTGGTTCCTGCCTTGTAAGCTCAAGGTCCTGAGTTCGATCTCTGGTACCAAAAAAAAAAATACCCAACATCTGTACCCATTTTTGTTTTTTTTTTGAGACAGGGTCTTACATTGTAGTTCAGGCTAGCTTTGAACTAATTATGTGGCCCAGGCTGGCCTTGAATTTGCAGCTATCCTCCTGCCTCAGCCTCCCCAGCGCAGGATTAGAGGGATGCACTGCCACACCTGGTCTCTGTGCCTTTCTTAATCACTCATTTTCTTAAACTATAATCTTTGGCTCAAAAACGATTATCATGCTTTACACCAAGTTAAAAACAAATGTGAATCATATTTTGTATAAACAAAATAAAGATCAAAACCTAACTCCAGACAAATCTTCCATGCAATTTATGAGTCTTTCACTCTCAACTTGTTTCCTTATTTATAGTATGACTACACTGAACAACTTTATCGTTAAAAGCTGCTTTTAGAAACAAACAGGACAGCCAGATATGATAGTTCATGTCTATAATCCTAGTATTTGGGAAGCTGAGAAAGGAGGATCGACAGGAGTTCTGGTCCAACCTGGCTACATAGTTCAAGGCAGCCTGAACTACACAGAGAGACCCTGTCTCAAAAAAATAAAATAACGTAACATAACCTCAACAAGCCATATTGATAGAAAAGACAATGTCAGAATTCTAAATTCACTGGGAGTTGAGACTCCTAAAAAGAGCAGTCAACTGTTAAATTTATACTTCCCACCAGCATAAGGTAAAGTGTTTCCCTCCCACTTTGGTTTAACTGTTAGTAACCTAACTTGCACCTTTTCAGAAAGTGTATCTTTAAATCTTTTATTTGGACTATTAGAAGCACAGATTTAAGAGCACATCTGTAATCCCAGAACTCAAGAAGCTGAGGCAGGAGGACTGCTGTTAGTTTGAGGTCAGCCTGAACTACACAGTGAGACCTTGTCTCCAAAAAAAAAAAATACAGACTTAATCATCAGCTGGGTAGTTTAAAATGGCAGAATAATTTTCAAAATACTAATTAGGAAAGACTAATATCACTAAAAATATATACATCCAGGTCACACTCAGTAATTACCAAAAGTAGAAAATAATTAAAAGAATAAAACACAAGAGTTTCTAAACACGTACCTTAATTTTTGCCTCATCTGGTCCTTTACTAGAATCTGCTACTTTGGTCCCCTGTTTTTCTCTCTGCCTGTAAGTCTTCATGACTCCACATAAAAAGGCACTTTTGTTCTGTAAAGAAATTTTCCATTCACATTTAACAATGATGATATTTGCATGTAACAAAACTTAAATATCAGAAATACACAAAATTTGTTCATTTCTATATTGAGGTTAAATTAACATTACCTGAACATGAGAGAGATCACTGTCTTTAAACTGTTGAAGAACTGCCAATGCGCCGTCTTCATTGAACTCTTTTAAAGCTTCGATAGCTCTTTCATCTAAATCACTATGTGCAACTAACCCTGAAGAAGAAAAAATTTAATTAGTTATCAACCTCTAACATTTTTGGAAGTTTTTCTTTCCTTCAAGACCCAGATGCCACTACAGATACACATGCAGCAACTCTATCCCCGTATCTAATAATGAAAAACACATACACTTAAGCTTTTCTGAACTAAATAAAGCCTCTCAACCACACTTAAAATAACGAGCCAATTTTACATCCAGCTTTATGTTCAAGCCTTAAGAGTTCTGAACGTTACATATTTCTACAATAAACGTAAACTTACAAATCCTAAAGACAACCAACAAAGTACCAAACATGACAACTGAACCTGTACTCAACCTCAAGTACCACTAGAAAAAAATCCTGCCACACCAGTAAGACAAGAGAACACATCTACAGCTCCCAAGAATCCTACTACAAAAATACTCAAAAAAGTCACATGGTCTGTTCCCAATATTTAACAGCTGTTATTACTATCATATATACTTATCCAACAGGCCGCCAGCCTTTCCCTAGGGAGGGCCTATCCCTCTCTTCTTCCCTCCCTCTCTGCACCTTAACCTCTAGTTCAAACCTAAATCAACTATCAGAACAAGGCAAAGCTCAAGTTCCCACACTTAATTGGAAACCACAAAAAGTTGCTATTTTAGCTCAAAGCCAGAAATCCAATAGAAAAATTTCATAATGTAATTTTGCAAGTGTTAGTTCTTACCTGCAACGTAAATTTCATCTAGTTTTTCAGCAACTTTCTGTGGTAAACCAGCATCAAGCAATGTCTGAAAATTTTCTGAATGGATAACTGCAGAAGTAGTATCCATGGGCTCTTCAGTACCATTTCCATTAACATGTTCTGTAGCCATGTTTCCAGAGATCTGTTCAAACGCAATAAGCAAAATTAAACTAGGATCTTCAAAAAAAAATAGAGAACAATATAAGAGCCCCAATCTTTACTTTCTCTACCACTTACTGCACCAGCAAGCCTGCACCTCCCTTGAAAGAAACCTTAAAGTCACCAATTGCCTGACATGCCAGATTGGAGCAGGGCACAGAAGGACCAATTCACTATTTTCTTCCTGAGCACCACCCCTAACTCACCTGCTATCACTCCCTAGGAAAAACCGGATTACAAATGAAGCCCAATCAGTAAGAGGACCAGCCAGAGTGCCACATGCAGCTGTTCCCGTACAGAGAATAAAGTGTGTGAGAATAAAGCAAAGCTAGACTCGTCCCTCTCCAAGGTAAACCCCCAAAGTGCGCTTTTCCCGCCTGCCGCTTATAGATCAGTAACAACAGCCAGCAAAGAACAAAGCGCTCACACAGGCCACCTTCCCACCACCCAATTTCTCCACCCTTCACCCCCACACCCCAAAGCCCGCCCCCGACTCCGCACCCAGAGCGGCAGCCTCACCACTGCGGCCACCAGGAGCCCATTAGAAACACGTGCTCTGCGCCTTCAAATGTCCTACAACTTCCTTCAACGGAAACCCAAGGAGTCCCAGGCCAAGACGACATCGGCTCCCATCAACCCGCAGCCGCGGTCAGAGCCCCCAGAAAGCTACAGCATCACAACCTCGCCCCTCAACACCGAGGCTACCGCGGCACCAGGCCACGGGCTCTCCCCGCCCCGCAGCGCCGCCGTCTCCGCCGTGACACATGGCTCCTTGCCCCGGGCGCTCCCTGGGCGCCGGCGACCCCAGCCGCCCGCCCGGCCGAGACGTGACCCGCGGCGCGCGGTGCAATACCCCACCCCTGGCTCCCGGGTGCGGTGACTGCGGCGTCGCCGCGTTCGGCGATAGCTCCAAGCCCGCAAGACCCCGAGCACCGCCCCAGCCCGCCGCCCGGCTGCGGGACAGGACCAGCTCCTCTCCGCCCACTCCCGCGGCGAGAGCCACGACAGCACCAACTCCCGCGCCGCTCGCGGTCCGCGTGGGCCACGGGGCCACAGAGGCACCTCCTCCCCGAGCGCCGCAGACAAAGCCCGAGCGGCGGCAGCACATGGAGGGGAGGAAGTGGCGGCGCGGCTGCGGCCTACTCCAGGCAGCCCCAGTCAACGTGCTCCTCTCCCTCCTGGAATCCATTTTCCAGAAAAGCCGGTCTCTACCCGCGTCGCCCTCCCCCAGCTCACTCCACAGTGTCAAGGAGCTCCCCTCCCAGACCCCGGTCGTTACCTCCCAGTTGGGCTGCGGCGGAGGAATCCTGTCCGAGGGGATCGGGTTGCGGGAAACGCGTGCTCGCTGCTCCCTGTGTCCGGCGCGAGTGGAGCTGTTGTAAAATGGCGGCCGAAGCTCACGCCGCTGGCAGCAAACCCGATCCAGTTCCACTCGCCTCCGAGCGCGCTCCCGGTGCGCGCGCGCGCCCCCGCGTGACCCCCCCCCTTCCCTCCCCTCCCTCGCGCGTCCGCTGCTCACTCACTCCCTCAGCCCCTGCCCTCCTCCAGCTCCTCCTTCTCCCCCTGCCACCACCACCACCAGCCGCTGTCCGCCTTCTTCCCTCGGCCTTTCTTTCCCCTCTCCCCGTTCCTCTCCCCCCTTCGCTCCCAGTGCGGTCCGCGGCCGCTCAGGTACGAGTGGCCGCTTTTTCCCTCCTCGCTTGCACTCTCTCGTCCGCTCCCTCCCTCGCTCTCTCAGCCCGGTCCCTCAGTCCCTGCCGAGTCGACTCCTCTCTTTCTCTCTCCCGCGCTGACGTGATGACGTAGACGACGCCTCAGGACGCGCGCCCGCGGGCCCCGCCCCCACGTCCCGCGGCCTCTCCCCCCCTCCCCGACCGGGTGGGGGGCCGAGACCCCGCCCTTCCGCCCGGCCGAGGGGCCGAGTGACTGAGAGGCCCGCCCCTTCCCCTCCCGACACTCCCCTCCAACTCCCCTCCAGGCGGGGCGGGCCGGGCCGGCTCGGCGTGTCCCACTCGTTCTCCTTTGTCAGGAGACGGGCATCTCCGCACCCCGCCCAGCCCCACCCCCACCGCAGTCCCACGCGCACGCCGTCCCCACCGACTCCCGCCATCCTATCCCCTCCCGGGACGGGGGGCGCGGAGGGCGCCGCGGCTCCCCGCAGGCCACCCACCGGTCCGCGCGACGGCCACCGCCGTTCCGGGCGGTGTCCACGCCGCTGCCGCCGCCCCGCGCTCTTCTGGTCGGGAAGCTGCGGGCGCACGTGTCCCCCGGGGCGGGGCGAGGCACACAATGGGGCCGCGGGGGAGGGGAGCGGCGCGGCGTAGAGCCCCGAGCACCTTCAGTCCTCCGGGTAGGCCGGCGCGGGTGCAGGACGCGCGCCCCGGTAAGCCCGGGCTACCCCGCGGACAATGGGCTTCCCCGGCGCCCCACGCCCGCGCGGCCCCGCTTCCCCGAGAAACCCGGCGAAGGGAGGGGCGGCCGCGTTCGCCGAGGAAACCCCGGCATGCAGAGGGGGACGCGGAGCGGCGCCCGCCCACCCGGGATGACACGAAGGCCAGATTTGGAAGCGAAACCGCCGGGCGGTGAAAGGTTGTGCAATGCTCCGTTTCTGTCCCAGGCCTTTTAAGCAGTTAAGGGCTCCTCCTGGCACAGTTTTGAGCAACTTGAAGCAGCACAAAGCTGCGTGATGAGGAAAATATCTGTGTTTCTTTTCAAAATCTTGGCAACTAAATCTTATGTGAAGTGACATTTCCTTTGTAACCGCTTACTAGGTACAAGAACGACAAGACAAAGGCATTTGAATTTCAGACGCGCTGTGGATGCTAATTTTAACGCAGCTCTAATGAGAAATAGTAACATACTCTGGCTATGAAAGTTTTCTGCGTTTTTGTTTTTGTGCTACCAGAGATTGAACCCAGGGCCTGGTACATGCTAGGCACATCTACCACTAAGCTACATCCCCTAGGCTTTTTTTTAGACAAGGTCTTGGTAAAGTACCCAGGCTGACCTCAATCTGGAATCCTCCTGATTCAGCCTCCCAAGCGGCTTTGGTTGCAGGCTTTCACCATCACATGGGGCTAAAAAGTTTAAAGACTTTACTATTCACTGGATTAGCTAGCTCTATCCTATGGTATATCACCTGTTCGAGGAAAAGTCAAGTACTCTTCAAAGTGCATAAGCACATAAAACGAGACTGTTTTCTTAGGCATCTGAAACCATATTGACAAAGGGACACTTTATTTACCTATGATCAGCAAAGAAGTGAACTCTCTGTTACCTAAAATCTGTTAGTATGAAACATGGCTATGATATTCAGCTCTAAGGATTTTAGTTCACAAACCAAAAGTCATGGACAATGATATAAGTGAAAACAAATATTTAACACAAAAATATTACAGGTTAAGGAAAAGGAAAAGAGTAGGTGTTTATCATACTTTTTTTTTAATACAAGTTCTCGCTGTGTAGTCCAGGCTGGCCTTGAACTCACTATGTAGTCAAGGATGGCCTTGAACTCATGGCAATCCTCCTGCCTCAGCCTCCTAAGTGCTGGGATCATAGGTGTGCATCACCACACCGGGCACTGCTTTTTTAGAGCTTCCTATCAAAGTTCCTTTTTTTAATTTTAATTTTTATTAGTACACGTTTGCAGTGTATAATAAACAACATCCCTACCCTTCATCATGGGGAATTGGTAGATAAACATCCCACATATCAATTCTTTTTACTTCCCTTTCCTTCCCCTTCCCTCTCCCTTCTCTCCATCTCTTGGACAACTGCAAAGCTTTTTCTGTTTTGTTGTGTTTGTTTGTTTTTTGAGGAAAGGTCTTGCTGTGTAGCCCAGGCTACTCTCCCAAGTACCGGGATTACAAGCATGTGACATTGTACCTGGCTCTTAAATCAGTCTCTCTCTCTCTCTGAGACAGGATCTCATTGTATGTGAACTCATGGTGATCCTTCTGGTTTAGCCTTCCCAGTGCTAGGATTACAGGTGTGTGTCACCATTGCAAGTCTAAGTTCCTTTTTGTAAGTGTGTCTGAGTGAACACAGTCTTCAAGAACTCCAAAATGAAAATCTCTACCTCTTCTCTGGCCTCATATTCCTTTGTCTACCATGCCCTGAACTTTATATGGCATTCCAAGTCAGCATTTCAAGAAACAGCTCCTGATCACTGTCTCCCTAATTCCCACTACAGAACCACAGCCTCTGGTACTGAAGAATGTATCCAAGACTTTCACACTGAACTACCTGCACAGTCTGCAGGCCTTTTTTTGTTTTTTAAAAATTTCCCAGAGCCCCTCATGGTGCCCTAGACCTCTAATCCCAAAACTCAGGAGGCTGAAGCAGGATTGCCAGGATTTTGAGGCCAGGCTGGGCTACATAATGAGTTCAAGACTAGCCTGGACTAAACAGCAAGACCCTGTCTCAAAAAACAAAAAAAAATAAATAAAAGACACATTTTTTTTAAAAATTGCCCAAACTGAGGCTCTTGCCTCAGCCTCCCAGCCATCCTCTTGCTTCAGTGTCCCATATGCTTTTGCCACCATGCCCCCTTATCTTTCCTCTCCACAGTTAGTAACTCAGTGAAAGTCACCCAAGATCCAGCAGTATAGCTGGAAAAGGAGTTAGCCAGCACTCTTCCTTCTTTCCACTGCTGCATCAGTTGATCAAGTCCTGTCAATTCTGTCTCCCAAATATATCTCCATGTCTAGGCTGAAACCACTCAAAAAAGCCACTGTCATTTTCCATGCATATGGATATAATATAGCTTCCTGATTTCCACACTGTTGCAAGTCTCCTGATCCATTCAACAGAAACCTCCCCCCCCACCCCATTTCCCTTTCCTTCTAAATTGCAAATACGAGTCCATGGAACATTTGCTAAAACATTTTATGGGGAGTCTGGCCCTGTGGCTCAGTGGTGGAGCACATGCTTTCCATGGAAAAGGCCCTTTATTCCACCCCAGCACTACCCCCAAAACAAAGCAAGACACAAAAAAAACTCGATTGATTCCCATTACACTTAGAATAAAAGCCTAAATCCTTAAGAACTCTTCTACTGTCTCACCAGCTTTAATTCAGCTACTTTCCTGGCTTCAGTTGGCTTTCTCTCAATTATGGCATTTCCTCTTTTCCTTTTTTTTTTTCTTGGTTTGTTTTTTTTTGAAACAGGGATGGCCTATGCAGTTGAGGCTGGCCTTCAGCTCACTGTGTAGCCCAGGCTGGCCTCAAACTCACAGCAAACTTCCTGCCTCAGCCTCCCCAGTGCTAGGATTACAAGTGTGCACTACCACCCTTGCTCAATTCTAGGATTTCTAATGTTTGCTCACACCAAGGAACTAGACAGAGAAGCGAGTGATGGCCTGAGCAGAACTGAGTAATCTTAATTTGACATTTTTAAAAATGGAGATTGTACTGTGTTGCCCAAGCTGGTTCCCAATTTTTAGGCTCAAGATATCCTCCTGCTTCAGCCTCCTAACTAATGAGTCTCCTGGCATGTAACAAGCCTGGTTATTTTGATGCCTTTTTGAAGGACACAATACTGTAATTTTCCTCTTGAACTCTTATTCCAATCTTGACTCCAGGAAGTATTATTACTGAAACATGGAGAATCCCAATAACAGGTTAAAACAGAATAATTACATTACTTTTATATGAAAGACACACTGGGTTAGATGGAAATCTATATGAAAAAAGAAAAAGATCTTGTGCAATTTCCATGGGGAGAATGAAGATGAGCTCTCCTTCAAGGCTGGAGATATAATATCAGAGCTGGAATCTCTAGATGATGACTGAGTGAGTGGAGAACTAATGGGAAAATCTGGGCTATTTCCCAAAAACTAAATTCAGTTTCTACAAGTCAGCTAAAGGTGATGCTAAAATAAAAGAAAAGAGGGTGTGGACCAGAGCCTCTACTGCAGGCAGATCCCATCCAAGGCCCCGCCCAGACACCAGTGGCTTGGCCACACAAGCCCAAGCCAAAGAGTGGCCCCAAAAAGAGCTACACATGTGCATAAGCATCAGCCGGAGGCCTGCCACATACCATCTGTAAATGCATGGAGACCCTAGCCAGAGGCCTGCTCAGACACCAGGTTCTGGGGTGCACAGCTCCCAGGCAAAGACCTTCCCAGACAACAGCTACATAGGGGAGTAGGCGCTAGCCAGAGGCACGCCTAGAAACCAACTGAGCACAGGCCCCAGCCAGAAGCCCATCCAGACAACAGGCCAGCTCAGGGATCCAGAAGGCAACCATTCTGAACCAAAGTATTGGTATACTGGTGAGCAGCAGAAAAACGGTTGCTTGGTGGCTTGCTGAGAATTGAAGACAACTGGGTGAGCAAAAAGTTGCCTCAACAAAGGCACAGGAGGCTGCATCTGTTGAAATGAGAAGATGCATAAATAAGTCTCAAAACCAGACTTCCAGATGACCTAAAGCAACCCCAAAGGGCAACGAGATGGAACAATCTGATATTCAACCACCT